GCCCGCCCCGCACCCTCCGCACCGCCCTGCACAGGCTGTGCGGGCCGCCCTGCGTCTCTCACCCGGCCGGAGCCCGGGGGTCCGCGTGGCGACCCCAGCCCCTTCCCCCCTCATTCCCAGTCCGAGGTGGAGGAGACAGGTGGAAGGAAGGAAATCAAACCCTGGAGTCACCGCCAACTTCCCGGCCTTCACCCCCGCAGGGAGCGCGGAGGTGGCGAGCTAGAAAGAACCAGAAGGCCGAAGGAGACACCCCAGCATCCCCAGAAACGGGCGGGGGTGCGGGGGCCGCCGCCAGCTCCGGCCCAGGGCGGTGGCTGCCCGGGCCTGAGGATCAGTGCTGCCCGGGCTCCCGCCGCGGTGTGGTGGTGGGGGACACGGGGGGCCGGGGGGGGGCCGGGGGCCTCGCCAGAGGAGGAAAGAGCATGGCGGTCAGAGCATTTACTATCAGGCACGACCCAGGCTCCCCCCTCCCCGCGAAAGTCGTCTTCTGCCCATGGATGGTGGTGACAGTGTTAGGTGTGTAAGCCTGGAAGTTCTCGGGCGCATGGGAAGCTTGTGGGCCACACCCCACGGGCTTGGTGCATTTGTGCCTGGGAACAGCGAGCGATCTGAACGAGGAGAGGCAGGACTGCCTTTACTCTCCTCTTCCCAGCCTGAGACCCACACGTGTGTGAGTGTGTGTGAGTGTGTGTGCGCGGGCACTCACACGCATGTGCATCTGATAGATTTGCTATGTGCTGGTCCTGGGGCTTGAACTCGGCCTGGGCTCTGTCCCTGTCCCTGAGCCTCTTTGTGCTCCAGGCCAGGCTCGACCACTTGAGCCACAGTGCCACTGAGTGCTTTCTCTGAGTGGTTTACTGGAAGTTCTTATCTTACAGACTGTTCTTGCCCAGGCTGGCTTTCAGCCATATACATATTTGTGTCTCCACATAGATATGTCTATACACGTATGTTTATATACTCGTGTGCAGATGCATATGTACTTGCACACACATTTATGCGTACACGTGCTGTGTATGTGTGTAGTGACTGTACATGGAGAGCAGGTGCTAGATGCCAGGTGTGAAGCAGGAGAAGGTAGTGCCAGCCTCTCCATTTTGCAGGTGAGAGAATAGAGTCTCCAGGGGTGTCACTGGTCTCTTGGAAGCCACCCGGCTTGGGCGTGAAGACCCTCGGCTCCCTGGCTCCGCTCTTCTCATGCCCGTGCCTCATGGCCTGTTGCTAACATTCTATAACATTCTAATTGCTTGATGATGAAGTGTCATGGAAGAGAAGCGTGGTGGGGAGGGATGTAGGGACGCATTGGTTTGCTACGGGACTTGCCTAGGGGGGTTTTCTTCACTGCCTGGTTTGCTGAGGAGTTGACCCTGAGGGTGTGATGTAGGAATATGCAAACCCAAGCACAAGAGATGTATTGCAGGCCCCGAGTCTGGAGCAAGGTAAAATAAGACCTTTTAGGTTTATGTCAGCATTAAGAATATTCTAGAAAGGCTTGCCTCATGTGACACTTTAGAGTGGGAGATGTGCCCTGTTCTCAGGGGCTTGCAGTGGCTGCCTGCACTGAACACTGGCCAGGTGGGTGGCCAGAAGAGAAGAGAGACATCCCTTCTTCCTGTCGTAAGGACGGTGAATTGCAGACACACACTGTGTGCCATATTGTCCAGGCTGATGACGGACAGGGTTACCGGGCGGAGGTGGGGTGAGCTCTGCTGGGCGGAGGTGGGGTGAGCTCTGCTTCCTGACCTTGGCGGGTCGTTTGACCAGGCTCTTGCGCCACGCTGGTGCGATCTGGTGCGCTCGCTAGGCAGGTGCGGCTCCTGCCGTGACTCAGGCCAGGCGCTCTGGATGAAAGGAAGTGGAGATTGGGCTCGAGGGAGAAGTGCTGTCTGGAGGGAGAAAGCCCAGAGTTAAGCCCTAAGACCAGCACGGACAAATAGAGCTACAAACGTTTTATTTTATTTTTTTAAGAAAAGCTGGTATTATCTATACAGTATCTTCTCCTTTTTACGTGATTTCTGTAAACTCTGCAGTCCTAGAGTGTGAAAGTTGGAAGGAAGCCTAAAACACTTCTGGTTTATTACTTTAGATTTCTTGGTGGAGAGAAAAAGCAGGCTGCACTGCAGAAGTGACTTCTTAAAATTTATTTTGTTTTCTCAACTAACAAGCTGCGGCGGCCACTGTGTTCTGAGCGAGGCACAGGCCCTGGCAGTGAACCAGAGCTGAGCGGGAACTCGGGTCTTGCCTCAAAGGTGCCGCTCCTAGGGCCACGTGTGCAGCTCAGCGCCGACTGGGCTTTTCTTAGCCGTGTGGGCCAGGGGATGACGGCTGGACATAGAAAATGTGGTGGACCTGAAACTCTTGATAATACTCAAAAGTCATGTTAGCTGGTAGTGTCCACCTTCAGAATCACATTTGCTTGCCTCAGTAGGCCAAGTGACTTAGGGGAAGTGAGGAATGGGGAGGGATGGGCAACGCAGGCGGGACTCGCGGTGGAATGAAGGAGTCCTGCTTTAACTCGCGTTACCCCTTGTCTGAAGGTGCAGAATGGGATCAAACTGCCCATCTGACCCAAGAGCATGTGTTTGAAGCCACTGCATTGATTGAGAGCAAATAAAGAAGCCTCCCGTGTATATATGCACATTGAATACCACACACATGCATGTGCACACACATACTTCCTTGTAGTACAATGTATGCTACTTTCACTTGAGAAAAAGACCATAAGACTCAAGTGCAGATCCACTATCTCACTAATATGTGTGTGTGTGCACGCGCGTGCATGTGTGTGTGTGTATGTATGTGTATATATATCCATATACACGTTAGCTACAGGAGGGGGGTTGTTATGTGATGTTTTCCCAATGTGTTGTAGGTCGTGCTGGCTGGTAGGACACCGCCGTGTGGGCTTCTGGGCTGGCTCTGCTCTGAGCAGTCTGCTTTCTCAGTGGTAGGCCAGGAGGTAGACATCACACTTGAACTTTGCACTTGATCTTTTTTTTTTTTTTTTGGTGCCTGTATTAGGACTTGACTCGGCCACCAGCTATTGCTTAGCTTTTTCCATTCAAAGTTGGTAATCTGTCACTTGAGCCACACAACTCCACTCCTGGAGGTTTGCTCGTTGACTGGAGGTGAGAGGCTTTGGATCTGTCTGCCTGAGCTGGCTTTGAACCAGGATTCCTCAGCTCTCAGCCTCCTGAGTCATGTGCTTCCTAGCCAGCCCTTCACAGCATGTCAACTCTAACTGGCTCAAGTAAAGCTGATGATGATGATTATTTTTCTTTTGGTGACGGGAAACAGACAGATGCATCATCGGACTATTCAGGGGCTGGGATGGAGTGAAGGCTCCTGCTTGTAGACACAGCTATGCCTATTTTCCAGTAAGTGCTAATACCCTGCTGGCCTTCTTCCTCTAGGCTGGCCCAGCACACTGCGGTGATGCCAGGCCACCAGCCACTTCTTGGCAAACTCCGGCACTTGTCTTCTGTGACAGATGATGCCTGATCGCTTCAGAGCTTCGGAAGCAAGTCAGGGTGGACCTTTGGACGCAGATGGTCCTGTGTGGTGGACCCTGGGAGGAGTCTGGGCTTCACGGCGGAATAGGACAGCATCATAAATACAGTCTGCCCCACCCCCAGTGTGTGTATTTGTTCAATACCAAAAAATCAACAGCGAGTCTGAAATTGGCTCGTGTTTGTCACCTGGCCATCCTACTACCTCCTTTTTTTTTTTCCTAGCCTGAGGAGGACTGAGCAGAGGTTATGTAATGTGAGGAAGCGGAGAGCCTGACAGAGCCTGGAAGGCCGGAGCCCCGCAGTGAGGGCGGATCTGCATGTGGATGCTGTTGACTCAAGGCAGCAGCAGTGTCACTGTTCTTGAGGGAGGTTCTCCTGTCAGCCTCTCTCTAGAATGTTCGACACGGGTGCCTCACACTATCCAAAACCCAAATAAAAAGAAACCAGAGGTGCTTGGCGAGCTGAGGTGGAGCTGGGTGCTGATGTTTCCGCCGTTTTCCCTGCGCTCCTCCGCCACGCAGAGCCACGCGGCTCTGTTACCTGGCACCACTTGCAGTTCTCGTCTGTTTTGGGAGAGGAACGTACGCCTGTGGGTGTACGAGGGAGACGAGGAGTGATTGCACGCGTCCTGGAGTCGGGTGCGAGCAGCGGTGGAGTGAACAGGGCCTGGGCATTGATAGCCCAAGGGGCGGGATTGGGAAGTGGTTATTAGTGGCAATCACGGGTCTGATGGTACTAGCTCTTGCCTGTTGAGAGGGTCTCCTGGGCTTGTGTTGAGGGCCGCTGACAAACCTTCTCAGTACATCTTACAAGTTCCCGAAGCGGAAGCGCTAGCCCGGTGTTCACATAGAGGGATGAAGATTGAGGGCGTGTGTGGTCATGGCGTCGGCGGGGACTGGAGAGAAGATTCAAGGCTAGGTCGGGGTGGCTTCGAACACACCCGTCTGCCTAGTTAGGGGGAGGGGGATGGTTCGCTGTACCAGACGTTCTAAATTTCAAGAGTTGAGCCTGCTGTTTTCATTGGACGAACAGTTCCGCCCCGTGGCGGTGCTTGGAAGTTTAGCAGGCCCGCTGGTAAGGGGCACCGAGTGTGGAAGGGACAGGAAGGAGAAGGGTGGGCACTTTCTGTGGGGTGACTCGGACGGGCTGTGGCGCCACCGTGAAGACGGAAAGATCCTCCTGCCAGCGGGAGTGGTATAAATAGGCGGCGGAGGCTTTGCTTCGCTGCAAGGTGGGTCATTTTGGAAAAATATTTGCTTAGTGAGTAACGGTGACACTCGCTTTCTGCTTGGTAATGTGGTTTCACCTCACTCTGAGAATCTGAGAACATTTTAGGGGTTCTTTGCTGCCAGCTTGATTATTTGAATAGAAGTGCCCGGTCTTGCACCATCTGTTACTGGTATTTCTTTTGTTCACTTTTCATTTCAGGTCTCTTAGAAACTGAAATTGGTAATGTGAGAGGTGCCGATAATGAATGGTGGTGTGGTGGTGGTGATGATGATGATGATGATTGTGTATGTGTGTGTGGGAGGGGCTTGTCACACTGACTGGCACTACACAGCTAAACAAGAATTTGAACATCCCTCTAGAAAGCTTGAATAGATAGGCCAGACAAAGACAAAAGGCAGAGAGGAATTTGTTTAATCATTTGTCCTAGAAGAGAGGTTAGAATTCTGGTGTCCCCAAGAACCTTTGGGACAAGACCAGTGATCTGATTTCACCCTAGATAATGGGCAGTGCTACTCAACTGGGAATGGGAAAATCGGAGGGTTGGGGAAGGAGAGAGAGACCCAAAGGGAAAAATGGTGGCAGATAGCTGGCAGGATTTAACTCGTGTGTGTACTTTCTTGTGTTTGACGCTGTGTGTGTGTGTGTGTGTAGGTGTGTAGGTTTTGTTCCCTTGCATTTGTACTTTTTCATTCGTGTAATGAGCTCTATGGACCATCTGTTAAATGTCAGGCACAAGTGGACTTCAGGGATATGTACGAGTAAGAGTCCTTGGTCTCTTCCTCTGGGGTTTCACGAAGGGAGATGTTGGGTAGGAACCTAGAGGAGGAGGAGGAGGAGGAGGAAAGCAGTAGGAAAGAGGCCTGTGGAGTCCCCTAGCCATAGTGAAGAGCTGGGTGTCCAGGCAGCCAGTGTTCTCGGTGCTCGGTGAGCCAGGCAATGGAGCGCGGGTTGTGGTGGAGACACGGGCAGAGCCAGGTCGCCTGCCACCCTTGGTGTGGTCTCCACCAGATCTGAGGGCAGTGAACATTCACATTCAACTTTTATCAAACAGTCTTTCCTGTATCTTTGCAAGTCTTGGGATTGAGTCCGGAGCCTTTTTATTATGCTAGGCCAGTGCTCCACCACCGAACTATATCCCCAGCTCCCAACTTTTTAAACAGATTGCGCTGTAACTTCCGTGGGAGTGGGAGGGAATTGCTGAACGCTGCTGAGGCAGGCAGGGCCGGTGGTGGTGGTGAGGAGAAGCTGTGATGGAGGCCGGCTGCCTGGGTCTGTGGCGGGAAGGGCAGCGTGCGGGCCTTCCTTCACATCCGCCCAGGCCCGGCTGTCCTCGTGGGTGAAGCCGTCCTCCTGTTGTTGAGTGTGTGGCTTGCTGCTGTTCAAGTTGGCTTGTCCAAACCAACAACCTTTTGGGTTGTTTCCCACAGGTGTGATCCCCAGAGTGGAATTTCTAGGTCAGAGGAAATGAACGAGCAGTTTTATGGCTTGGGCTACATGGTGCCAGCTTGTCTTCAGGAAGACAATTTAGACGGCCACTTGTCACCTATGAGTGCGATTTTTACTCCACAAACCTGCCAGCCCTGGAGTTTATCATGTTAATTTATTTATGTCTCTAATTTAGATATGTAGAGGTCTCTTTTTGGTAGGAACACCATCAGTTTATCCTCTGTGGTAGTTTCCTTTGAAGTTGTTGATGCAGTCCTCTGTCTCAACTCTTGAGTAGACGTTTTACAAAACTCCTTTCTATTAACCCTCTGTCCTTGACTTCAAAGAACACTTGCTAGTGTGAGCACCCAAATCTCAGAAATACTTACAGGGCTGGGAAGGTGGCTCAGTGGTAGAGCACTTGCCTTGCATGCCTGAGGCCCTGGGTTCGATTCCTCAGCACCACATAAGCAAAAAGAAAAAAGCCGGAAGTGGCGCTGTGGCTCAAGTGGTAGAGTGCTAGCCTTGAGCTGAAGAGCTGAGGGACAGTGCCCAGGCCCAGAGTTCAGACCCCACGACCGGACCCCCCCCCCAAAAAAAAAGAAATACTTACATTATTTACATCAGCAGCTTATTAATAAAAGCTCTTACATTGGGATGCTGATGAGCAGTCTGATAAAGGAGTCCAATAGCAGAGAGCAGAGCATCGAGAGGGTTGTTGGATCCTCGTGTCTGCTGTGGGCGTGCATGCGTGCATGCTCCGGCCCGCGCACACACTCAGCTCTCTGGAAGCTCTGAACCTTGCCTTTCTGGAGTTTTATGGAGGCTTCATTATGAAGGCCCAGGATCGATTACATCATTAACCACTGGTGATTAGCTCAACCTCAGCTCCTCTCCTCCTTGGAGGTTGGGGGTGTGGCTAAAAGCTACAACTCCGTAGTCAAGCCTTAGTTTTTCCTGGTGCCCAGTCTCCTAAGGGTCTTCAGCCCTCATTCATCTATGGTCAGTCCTGCAAAAGCTACTCACATCACCTTTGAGATTAGGAGCTGTTTTTGAGGAACTTAAGGCAGAGACTGAGCGTCTATCTATATCGTTATATATATTATGTATGTATGTGTATATACATATATACGTGTATATGTGTATGTATATATACGTACATATATATAAATAAAATCTTTTGAATCATGCCAACTGGTACTTGGTAGAGCTGGGCTTGCTTGGCACACCCCAAATTCAGATAGATTTTTTACTTTAATGCCAGAGTTTCCACACTTGCTGGAAAAGTTGTTTTGTTTTTTTAAATTTTTTTTTGTTTTTTTTTGGGTCCGGTCGTGGGGCCTGAGCGCTGTCCCTCAGCTCTTCAGCTCAAGGCTAGCGCTCTAGCTCTACCACTTGAGTGCTTATGTGGTGCTGAGGAATTGAACCCAGGGCCTCATGCATGCAAGGCAAGCGCTCTACCACTGAGCCACCTTCCCAGCCCGAAAAGTTGTTCTTGCCTGGGTTTATTTGTTCTATAAATCCTTAGCGAGGTATGGAGTGCCCCCCCCCCCATCACTGCCTGAAGTCTTGCACGTGATGCCGGTTCACTTACAACGTAGTGAATAAATAAGTCAACACTTGGCATCCCTAGAGAGGTGGAGGGCTGAGCAACAGCTGTGGTGAGCAGGCAGCCAGCCATCCGTGGCTCACACCTGTAATCAATCGTAGCTACTCAGGAAACTGAAATCTGAGGATCACGGTTCAAAGCCAGCCCAGGCAGGAGTAGGAGAGTCCACCAGACTTATCTCATGGTTGTGGAGGTATGGTGCAAGTGGTAGAGTGCCAGCCTTCAGCAAAAAAGCTAAGGGACAGTGCTCAGGCCCCAAGTTCAAGCTCTGGTCCTGGCACACACACAAAAGGAAGAAATCGCCGTTGTGCTGGAGGAAGGTGACGTTCTGCAGTGGGCACGGCGTGCAGATGGCACATGGTCGCTGCATTGCAGCATCGCGGTGCTTGATGCCGTCCCCCCCCCCGTGCCCCCCTCCCCCCTCCCTCCTCGGCATCTCCTGAGCTCCCCTCCCTCTGCCCCTGCAAGTCAGCGTATTCTCTCCCTGGCATTCTCCATATTCACCAGCTTTTTTTTTTTTTAAGTCTTTGCTTTTGCCCTGGCAACAGCAGATTTTTTTTCAACTCAGAGAGGATGATAGGAAATCAGAGCTGACCAGGTTTATATAACATAACTGGAACTGTTCTGCTGTGAGTTGTAGAAGCGGAAGCTTTGTCCTTGAAACATTTTTGTTCTTGTTTTCTTTTTTTCCTCCTCTCATATCTGAAGAATTCCAAATATCAGTGCCTTAATATTAGACATTTAATGTGCTGCTCAAATTGTAATGGTATGTAGCCTTTGCCTTTTGGTCATCTGCAGCATGTTTTGATTGTCTGTAGCAGGAACAATTTGGTTGCATTACAATCTTCTTTAAAACAACAAAAACTGGATGCTGGTGGCTCACACTTGTAATCCCAGCTACTTAGGAAGCTGAGATCTGAGAGTTTCAGTTCAAAGCCAGCCCAGGCAGGAAAGTCTATGAGAACCAACAAAAAACCAAAACAAAACGAAGTGGAGCTGTGGCTCACATGGTAGAGTGTTAGCCCTGAGCACCAAAGCTCCCAGGGCATTGGAGAGGATCAGAATTGGTGTGTGAGTTGGAGTGGGTGGAGAGAAAAGAAGAGACCTCAGCACCCATGGCAGGTGCTAGGGGAAGCTCTGAGGGTCTCTTTGTCTCGGTTGGACTTTGTATTTGCTATTTCTTTTGTCCTGGTCAAGTGTAGTGTGTGTGTGTGTGTGTGTGTGTGTAGTATATAATATATAAAAAGTCAGATCGTTGAGAGACTGTACTGCCTGGTGTTCTTCCTGCATCGTGAAAGCAGCCGTAGGCAACACCTACGTAAATGATGTCTGGCTTCCAATACACTTGTTTATGAGAGGAATTGCCGTGTTGGCTTTCCCTTGCTGCCCTCCGGCTCAGAGGATGTTTTGCTAATTATTTCCACAATCTTCATTATTGAGGTGGTTCAACAAGCAAGGGACATGGCTGTCCCTGGCCCTGAGCTGCTTGAAGTCATTACAGCAACCTAAGTATATACATTTGTGGGTCATCAGCACACATTACAAAACAGTCTGTAATTAGTTTCCGCTATGATGACCAGGAACAGGAAATGGGATGAAGAGGTGGCTCATCTGTTTGGAATCTGAATGTCTAGGAACAATCAGAAAGGTTTGCTAAGAAGGTAGAACCCGTACATAAGTAAGCACAGCACTTTGTAGGATGGAATTGAAGACAGCCTTAGCTAATACAACCTGCTGTTTTGGTGAGCAAATAAAATGAGGTCAGGCTGATTTTATTTTTTTTAAAGACAGAGTTTAGACAAAAATATAAGTTCTCTCATCGAATAGTCTCCCTCCTCCTCCCTGTATTCTTTCTACTCTAGATTTCCACATATGAAAATACATATATAGTAGATTCTAGTGAATAGGGAAGAGAAGACGAATAGAGTTTCCAAGTTACGAGTTCTTATGCTTCGAGACTTCTTTTGATGTGGAAGAAAGTACTTGTCAAAAGACAGAGCCATGTGATTGTATTTGGTATTTGAAATGAGAAGGAAAGAAAAGATTGGGGATGAGAAAGAAAAGGAGAGAGAGAAGATAGAAAAATAGATACATGGACAGGGACAAGAGGCAATCTTTATGGCCTCTGTTAGAGACAGTCCAGAGAACCTGACTGTTAAGAAGGAAATGGTCAGTGTATTTCAATTCAAAAAGAATTCAATGATGGAACACTAAGAAGTTGAGTGGAGGGGCTGGGAAGGTGGCTCAGTGGTAGAGTGCTTGCCTTGCATGCATGAGGCCCTGGGTTTGAGGTCTCAGCACCACCTAAGCAGAAAAAGCCGGAAGTGCAATGGCTCAAGTGGTAGAGTGCTTGCCTTGAGCTAAAGAGCTGAGGGTCAGCGCCCAGGCCCAGAGTTGGCCCCATGGTCGCCAAAAAAAAAAAAAAAGAAAAGAAAAAAGAAATTGAATGGAAGCAAATCACGTGTAAAGCCTGGCCCACAAGTAAAACTTGTTAAAACAAAACCAAAAGCAACAGACATAGCTAATTTAAAGAACATGTGTTCAGATTATCAGGAAAATTAACTGAGCCAGTCTCTGGAGATGAATGGACTTGAGCAGGCTTAAATACTTTTATTCTATATGTCTCTTTTTAATTACCAAATTTTATTTTACTATCTTTAAGTAGTTATGCAAAGAGGATTTCTATATTCCTGATTATAAGAAGCCCAGGAACATTTATTTTTGTTTTAAAAATACTGATAAGAAATATGAAGACCATTAGATGTGCCAGATTGGGTAAGAGACAAGGGAGTGACTATAGGATTGGGTTGTGTTAAAAATACGACTCAGAATCTTAGAACTAAAGGGGGGGAATATATCAAGTGTAATATATATATGTTACATACAAACATGTATATTAAATATTATATACATATATTTTATACATGTGTATATATATATATATTACACTTAGTTCAGGGAGTCCAAAATGTAGTTGGGCATCAGCATCACATGGAGAGCTTAAAAACAGAACAAACTCTAGAGCTAAAGACAAAGCACATTATTCCTGACCTGTGAGCCTCACAGTGACCTCAGGGGGTGAGACTGGGGATAGGAAGTTTAAGACTGTTCTCCCAGGGAATTTCAGTTCTGCATCTGGTGCTGGAGGCTTTGATGAACTTCTGAGCGGATCTGGATTAGTAGGGCCCATCCCCAGGCTTTGGGTGCCCCTTCTCTTGTCCTGTTCAGTGACTGCATCTGCCTTTTCCAGTGTTTGCCCATTGGTTGGTTTCACATCCTACAGAGACCATGCTAATTTAAATTTGAATCCCCTTTATCTCCCCTACTCAGTACATTAGTCCAAGAATCATGTTTGGGAATGAGGGTTTTAATTTTGTTAGAAACCAAAAATCATGACCAGGCTAGTGGGGAAAGGTCTAAGGCAAATAGCCTTTCTTAGATGCCATCCTTCCCGCCCATGCGCCTCCAGGGGAGTGGTCCCTCTGGGGAGCCCAGGGTGGTGAGCTGCTGAGGTGGAGTGGATGGGATCTCATAGGGGACCCTAGCTCAGGGATTGGAAGGCTTAGTTGAGGAACACACTCCTTCAGGTGAACTAGAGAACTGATTAGATTTGACAAAGAAGGGCAGCTTGGGTTTTGGTAGAGATGGGTGGGTGGGGCGCTAAGCATCTACCTTACACTCCTTGGCAGACATATGAACTGAGTCTGGTGCTCTTCTGAGTTCAGTTTGAAAACCCTTCACCTTATGAACAAAAAGATAAAAGACTAAGCTAGGCACGGGTTACAGGCATGCCTGGAATCCTAGCTACTCAGGAACCTGGAGTCTGAGATCTGAAGATCACAGTTCGAAGGCAATCCCCACAGGAAGTCCATGAGACTCTTGCCTCCATTTAACCACCCAAAAGCCAGAAGTGGAGCTTTGGCTTAAGTGGTAGAAGCTAATCTTGACCACAGAGGCTCAGGGACAGCACCAAGATGAAAGACTATCTTCACATAGAAGAAACTTTTAAAAAGAAAGTCATGTTCCATCTGTAGGTGAAGCCCCAAGTAGGCAGCCCTGTGGTATGCAGTTGAACAATAGCCATGCTGATTCTCAGGTGCTTTGTTTTTATATGGAGGAATGACACGTCTGCCATAGGGCAGCAGAAGACAACAATTCTCCCTTTATTAGGATTTTGATTTTCACCTAGCACCTTTTTAAAATTTACTTTTTGCAGAACCTTTGCACACTAAGTTAAACACAGTACCACTGAGCTGCATTTGTGGTTTTGTGTTTTAATTCTTGTTTGTTACATTAGCTTCAAGTTGCTGTGTGAGAGGTTTCAGTTCAGCACATGTTTGCGAGCACAGTGTATTTAATGTCACCCCTTCCATCATTCTCCTCAATCTGTCCCAACCCCGCCCACCTCTCAGTTTGCCTGATTTCCACACAGGTACATCAGTTATTATGATTGCACTTGCCCATCTTTCCTCTCTGCTTTGTTTTGAGACAAGTTGCAGTGTATAATCAGGCCAGCCTTGAACTCATTGCTCTCCTGTCCCTACCGTCTGAGTTCTGTGATTACAGCTGTGTGTCCCCATGCCCAGGTCAGCAGTTTGAATACTGGCTAGAAAGTGCTTTCATTCACCTGAGCTCTTTTTTTTGCTCAAGGCTAGTGCTTTACCACTTGAGCCACAGCTCCATTTCTGCCTTGTTTTAATTGGAGATAAGAGGCTCATGGGCTTTCCTGCCCAGGGTGACTTTGAATCTTGATCCTTAGACCTCAGCCTCTGAGTAGCTAGGATGACAGGTGTAAGCCGCTGATGCCACCTGGCTCTCCACTGACTTTTAGAATCAATTTGACAGTCATTGTCAGCAGCAGTTTGCAGAGGGAAAACTAAAACTAAGGCTCACATCTGGTAGGTCAGATGCTAAGGGAACAATTGAGTCTTGCTTTCTCTCCTACTCTACTCATGGATGCTAGCATTTGTGTTGAGCAGATGTGGTGCTGGCCAGATGTTTAATAGGGGTGATTTAATAGGGGTGGGAATTGTTGGTCCTTTTGTGTTATCAGCTAATAATTTGTGGTTTTTGTCCCTCCACCTGTTCTCTTTCTTTCAGCTTGGATCCCTTAGCACCATTACAGCTCAACCAGAGCAGAAAGCCCCAAATCTCATAGGCACATACCGCCATGTTGACCGTACCACGGGCCAGGTGCTAACCTGTGACAAGTGTCCAGCAGGAACCTATGTCTCCGAGCATTGTACCAACACGAGCCTGCGTGTGTGCACCAGTTGTCCTCCGGGGACTTTTACCAGGCATGAGAATGGCATCGAGAAATGCCATGACTGTAGCCAGCCGTGCCCACGGCTGATGGTTGAGAAATTACCTTGTGCTGCCTTGACTGACCGAGAATGCACTTGCCCACCCGGCATGTTCCAATCGAATGGCACCTGCGCCCCCCACACCGTGTGTCCTGTGGGTTGGGGCGTGCGGAAGAAAGGGACAGAGAATGAGGATGTGCGGTGTAAGCAGTGTGCCCGGGGTACCTTCTCCGATGTGCCTTCCACCGTGATGAAATGTAAAGCACACACAGACTGCCTGAGTCAGAACCTGGTGGTGGTCAAGCCGGGGACCAAGGAGGCAGACAACGTCTGTGGCCCACGCCCGTCCTTCTCCAGCCCAGCACCCCCCTCTCCTGACACAGCCATCTTTTCACGCTCGGGGCATGGGGCTTCCCATGAAGTCATTTCCTCTACGTACGCTCCCAAAGGTAATGCAGCTTCGTGAATGACTTGCGTGTAGCAGGCCTCGCGTCCACGGAGGCACCAGGGATGCTCTCTCACTTTGTGTTTCCCAAAGTCAGACGTTAGAGAAGGCGGCTCTTTTCTGCTGCTAATTAAATCTGGCTCTTTGGACTTAACTAGCAAGATTTAAACTCCGAAAAGTGTTTTTCTTTTTTAATTAGGAGAGGTGAAACATTTAAAACCTAGGTTACAATCAAGCTAGAAAATAAGAACCGAGAGAGGGACAGTGTTTGACTTATATCCGTGACTTGACATCTTCAGGTCTTGTTTAAATTGTAAGCAATTTAAATGTCTAAGGTTCCTTCCAGATGAAAAGGTTTTCCACCTAGACACAATCCTAGCAGGACGTAGTGAGAAGGAGCAGGAATGCCATTACATTCAGAAGAAAGAGAAGAAAATGCAAGCTAGGGCCAAGAATGGGAGGGAAAATTAGAAATTTCAGGAAACAGCAAATATGTTCCGTAGTACCCAGATCAGGAGATGAATTCTTCATGTTTTTCTAATGATCTTGACTGCATTCTTTTTTAAGTATCTGAGTTTTCCTGAGATTCCACTTGATCCTCCAGCAGAATATAAAATTGAGCCTTTTTGAATTCTTCTGTGTGAATATAATTTTCATGAGACGGTAACCACCTTGAGTTGTGTTACCTCGTGCTCTCTCCTGTCAGGTGACTTGGCTTTCCACCTATAGGGGGAGCCTTCTCTTGGCTACCATTTTGAAATGAAGTGACAGGTCCAAAGAGCTCCTGTGGCCCACTCTAGACTTTCTCACGGGCTGATGTAGACCCCTGTATCTGAGGTCTCTCACACCCCTTAGTGAAGACCGCATGGGGAAAGCCAGCCCCATTTGTACTTAATCTGTTGATAATGGCTACTAAGGAATGTCTGTCTTCTTTTATTCACTGACCACTTGAGTCCTTTAGCATAGCCACATGCTCACATTTACTATGGCATCATGAAATGATCTAAAGGGGAGAAAGAAGAGAATAAACAGGAATTAAACTTGCGCTCATTCTCTGGATACTCAAAGCAATTAATTGGAGTGCTAAACTATACCTCTGTATAGCAGAATATGCCAGGAAGCTCGGATCTTTTGGGGGTGAACTTGTTTTGGCTATACAAAAGTGAGTTGAGCTATTCAGATATTACTTTGTGTAAAAAGTAGAAAATGTGCAATACGACTTACAGTTACTCTTCAGCCAGCATCTCTTCCTTATCCAGCTCAGTCTGGCGATGACCCGGAAGGGTAAGGAATATATAGACCCCAATATGGAAAGGCTCTCCCTTCCTCCTTACTCTTTTTTTCTAGGCATGAACTCAACAGACTCCAACTCTTCTGCCTCCATTAGACCAAAGGTACCAAGTGGCATCCAGGAAGGGACAGTCCCTGACAACAGGAGCTCAGCCAGCAGGGAGGAAGGCGGGAACCAGAGCCTCCCTGCCCTCCAGGTGGTCACTCGTCAGCAAGGCCCCCACCACAGACACATTCTGAAGCTGTTGCCGTCCATGGAGGCCACCGGGGGTGAGAAGTCCAGCACTCCCATCAAGGGCCCCGCGAGGGGCCACCCCAGGCAGAACCTCCACAGGCACTTTGACATCAACGAGCACCTGCCCTGGATGATCGTGCTTTTCCTGCTGCTGGTGCTTGTGGTGATCGTGGTGTGCAGTGTCCGGAAAAGCTCCAGGACTCTGAAAAAGGGGCCCCGGCAGGACCCCAGTGCCATTGTGGAAAAGGCCGGGCTGAAGAAATCTGTGACTCCAACCCAGAACCGGGAGAAGTGGATCTATTACTGCAATGGCCACGGTGAGTCCTGTCCCTTCTTGCTCCTGGAGCTTCCCGTCCCTGAGTGGTTGTACAGAGAGGTCTCCACCCAGCGTCCCAGCTGCTGATGCCAGCCCGCTCAGCACTCTTCTGCATCTGTCTCCCCTCCCCACACCCCAGTCTCCCTAGTTCCATGTTCACATGTGCACATTGACCATTATCTGCACTTTTCCCACCCTCCTTCCTCTTTCCACTCCTCTGTTCCCCGCCCCTTGACCTCACAACTCCCTGACTCCAGTGACAGACAGCACCTGTCCCAGCTTGGTACTCATTTTGCCCATCTGCAGGATAGTTGTTCAGGGATGCTACGTGGTTGGAATCCTCTCTTGCATATGTCATACTTCAGCTAATATGTTTGTGTGTATGCGCATATGACCCTGTATATCTTGTTTACGTATACATTCATACTTTAGATCTAACTTCCACACCAGAGAAAATGTGTCCTTTGTGTTTGTGAGCCTGAAATACTTAACACGATTGTTTCAAGTCCACACACACATCACATTAAAACAAGATCGCATTGTCCATCTGGGCTGTTTTTGTAACTCGGCTGTGGTGAACGGTGCAGCAGTGAACACGGGGTGCAGTTGTCCTTGTTGTCTCCTGATTTGGCATCTTTTGGCTCAGTGCTCAAGGGGGGCTCTCCCAGGCCGGTCTGGGGCAGGGCATGGGGGGAGCTGTTCACAGGCTGGATCTGTCAGGTTAGAGAAAAGGTTTTCCTCATTCCATTAAACCTGAGACATTCAGGTGGAACTTCTCTCACCTTTCCTGCCACCTATAAAACTGGAGAATGTTGTACAATGAGAGCCTCGAGAGTTACCCTTAGGGACTTGGTTGGACTGTGTTACTTAACAAGTGAGGAAATTGAATTCAAATAGGTTTGACCCAAACAAGAGTCTAGTTGTTTGTTCAGGACAGATGGGACTAGACACCGTATCTCCTTGACCGTTGGGGCCCTTCCTTTTTCTAAGAAAATAGAGCAAGGGCAAAGCCCAACTTGTAAACACAGGCTTTTTTGCAAAATTTTAATTGGAACCTTGGTTTTCAGTTCCTATCACTTTCCACATACATACTTTAAAAAAAATGTTCTACTTCAATATTTGGAATCTCATTTTCTACCCTGAGGGTAATCTGAATTTCCCCTGGGTGACAGTAGAGTGTGTATTTGTCATCAGAGGCAGAGGCCCTTCATCTTTTATTTAATAGCCAGTATGTCTTTAATACAGGCTGGAATATTTTGTTCTTTTCCTCTTTTAAAGACAAAAGTTAGCTCACAGAACTTACTTGTCTCAGAGCTAAGTTTGACCGAAGACTGTAGTTTACAGCCATGTTAGTAACTTTCCTTTTCTTTAAATCCTAAATGGAATTCCAGTCCTCTTTCGGTAATCCCATTCAAGTATTTCCTTTCCCTTTAAGTCTAAAGGTGTATTCTTTTCTAAAATATTTGGCCTTTTGATGGTGATTTAAGAAAGCTAATACCAGCTGGGCACTGCTGGCTCTCGCCTGTAATCCTAGCTGTTCAGGAAGCTGAGATCTGAGGATCGCAGTGGTTCAAAGCCAGCCCGGGCGGGAAAGTCCTGAGACTCTTATCTCGAATTAACCACCAGAAAACCAGAAGTGGCACTGTGACTCAAGTGGTAGAGTGCTAGCCTTGAGCTGAAGAGCTCAGAGAGAGTGCAGGCCCAGAGTTCAAGCCCCAAGACTGAAAAAAAAAATGCTAATACCATTTGGCCTTGCAATTCCATTTAATGCAGACAGAAATACTGTTAAAAATGTAGAAGCACAAAGGCCTGAAATTTTTAATTCAGCATTGTGTGTAACACTGGAAATAATGGTCAATATTTCGAGAAATTGCTAGGTGACTTAAGACCTATCTGTATGATGGGATATTTATGTCGGCATTGAAGATTTTACGAGGTTATTGTCTTTTATTATGTCAAAGAAAAAGGCTACAGTTTCTATAATACCACCCAAGTTATTTTAAAATTTTACAATAACAGTTGAAAGGAAACATGACAAAATGGCAATTATTTTTCAGTGATGTGTGACGGGTATGGGTGTTTTCCTTCCTTATGAGTTTTCTGGACTTTCATGCCACCTACAATACTTCTTTTGTAACAAAAGAAATGGCACCTGGCTCAGTGGTAGAGTACTTGCCTTGCATGCATGAGGCCCTGGGTTCGATTCCTCAGTACCACATAAACAGAAAAAGCTGGAAGTGGTGCTGTGGCTCAAGTAGTAGAGCGCTAGTCTTGAGCTGAAATGCTGAGGGACAGCACCCAGGCCCAGAGTCAAGGCCCCATGACCGACATTAAAAAAAAAAAAAAAAAAGAAATGGCACAATTTGTTTTTCTTCCTTTTCTGACTGGTGTGAGTTGTCAGAAACTGCGAGAAAAGCCAGGCTGAGGCAAATAGCCTACTGCATGTGGAGGCTGTCCAGGCCTAGATAAGACAATGCTGGTGGGAAACCTGGGAAACCTGGCTTGGAGATAGCTTTAGACCCTTCGCTCCTCTCGAACACAGCCACCACAAAGCTTTTCATCTACACATAATTCTATCGTGCACACGAATTGCAAGCATACTATAAAGAACGTCCTAGACCTGTTCCCAGGTTGACCTGTTTACCCTCTACTCTTTATCATTTGCTCAGTTTCTAAAGCCACGTAATGTATTTCATACAATAAGTTATGTGTTACAGAGCAGTTCATGTATTTAATATGGTGATCTATAGTGTATATTGTGTACATGTACATGAACATACATGCACAAAATAATTTCTCCAAATCATTTCATAATCCTTTATGCCTTAATAACTGAATATGTATTTTCTAACAAGAATAGTCTCTGAGAACAACTTTAGCCAATTTAACATGGGTTTAATGCTTTGCCATCTGTATTTTAGTGTTGTGTGTTGTTCCAGTAAGGCCCTTAATTAAAAATCATCTTTTTTTTTTTCCTTTTGAGTAGGAGATCCAGTTTAGAATTCTGTATTGCATTAAATTGCCCTGTGGGTAACCAGTTTAAAAGCTTATTCTATTCCTTATTTACCTGATTAGTACAAAACGATGAGGCTATTCTACTAGATTATATGAATTTAGAACCATTCTCTGATCATCCCTTTTCCTAATGAAGTAACTCTGTTCTTTTCATTATTTGTTTTTATAGATTGGCCAGCTGAATTTATAAACACTTCTTTGCAGGATGATTTTCAAAACTCTTGAGAACACAAATTGTAGAAGGGAAAACTGGTCTAGCAGAAAAGCAGTTCAATAATGCTTTGTGACCTTAAACGTTCTTATGGCCACTGTTACCATGTTAAACTGTGTCTGTGTCCTTAAGAATGGATGTGCTAAGTCACACACAAGACAGTCAGTCGTACCCTTCTGTGGAAGCAAGATGTCAGCACTATGCCTTCCATACTGCATCACAGCAGTCTCGTTCAGCAGCTATCTGCAGTTCTCCCGTTCACCCAGGTTTTTGCATTGGGTTGTGTATGTTCAAGGTCTCTTTCTAAGGATGGTCTTTTCTCGCCAAGCTGCTAGTCTCGAAGGTACAACCAGGTAAAAATGGTGTTACAAGGAGAGGTTTTGTGCGGGAGAAACCCTTCCCAGGTGTTCAGAGTTGTCTGGAAGCAATGCTCCGTTGATCTGACTGCACCGTGATTGGGCCATGGATTATCCTGGATAAGGTGCTCTCTTCCTGCTTCTTGCTCATTTCACACCAAATTGCTCATGAGGCTGTGGGCACGGGTTAACTGTCTTGGCCCTGGGTGGCTTTCTGTTAGAGGTTCTGTAAGACTTCACTTGGACATGAAGTCACGTGCTGAGGTCCTGCCCTGCTCCCAGCGCCCCGCAGACCCTCGCTTCTCTGACGCAAGGCCGTTGGTTCCCAGCTCTCACCAGCAAACACCTCTGTCTGTCGTACGTTTTTGTTTAATTTGGTTTGATTTTTTTGTTGGTCGTGGGGCCTGAACTCTGGGCCTGGGTGCTATCCCTCAGCTCTTCAGCTCAAGTCTCACGCTCTACCACTTGAACCCCAGCGCCATTTCTGACTTTTTCTGCTATGTGGTGCTGAGGAATTGAACCCAGGGCCAAGGCAAGCGCTCTACCACTGAGTCACCGTCCCGGGCCTTGCCGTATGTTTTTATAACTTTATAGAGCTATCTGTACATCTGTATATTCATAATTTGACTTTCTTCAGTGAACTGAATACATAGTGTTTCGTATGTGAAAAAGGGAACTGAGAAAGAAAGAAAAGCCAAAACAGCCACTTGGCATGCATAAGCCCTCGTCAGGGCTGCTCCTAGAACAGTGCCTTGAACTTGGTGTGCAAATATATGTCATTCAGTGAAGTGCAGTGTCCCCCACCCTGTCTTCCTTACCTTGGAGTTCCTTGGACGTGAACCCGGTTACCAATGTCTCCCAGACTCCAGAGCATTTTAGACTGTGTGATGAGCATGGAAATGTTTGCATATATTTTATTTCTTTACTCAGAACAACAATGAACTGAGGTTCAAGCCTGACCTTTTGCTATTTCTTAAGGAAAAACAATCTAACACACAGATAATAACAACTCTCAACTGTGAGATGTTGATACAGCAGAAGGCAGAACAAAGAGAGAGAGATATAATAACGACAAGGAGTGATCAATCATCCCCAAAGCATTTTTTTTGTGGTTGTCATGGCAACGGCTAGATCCTGTGGACAAGAACCATGCCTGGCACCAGAGAACACCTTCTTCCCAGCAGGGCCTCAGCCTGCAACCCACAAGCTTGGACATTGTCTTTCTGGGAGGGAAGTGCATGAGCAGGAGGTCCAGCCCTCTAGGGGCGCTGATTTGCAATACCAGCACCCTAGTGGGCATGGGATTGCATTCGTGTTTCTTGTATAAATATTTCCCAGGGGTGGCTGTGGTTGGGTGACAGGTACTACGCCTGTGGAGCTCATGCCATGGATATATTGGAGCAATATCAATAAACTCTT